TGAGAATTTCTTATAAAATAAATTTAATTTTTTTTTTTTTGAATTTTTACAATTGAATATATTTATAGGACCCAGAAATATATATAAAAGGGTCAGGTTTGAGTTGCGTAAAAAAATCATGAAAATCTTTCCTTTTTTAAAAAATTTTTGATAATGCCAGTCAGAATTTTATTTCCTATTATAGTAACCGACTGACATTATCATAATTCCGGCCCTGAAAAAATGCGTACAGCTCATAGTAAAAAAAAATTTTCATCACCTGACCGAAACGTAATTTTTTAAGTTTATTTAGAAGTGATGTCTTCAATTTTTTTTGTAAATTTTCTTTTTTTTATTATATTTTTATAATTTCACGCAATTTCACGCACAAAAAATGTTGTATCTACATGAGTTTTTTTTTAATTACAGATGGTTTCAAAAAAAAGGTCTACAAATTCAGGTGTTCAAAAAGTTTCTTTTTTGAGCTAGCCGATCGCTCGCATATGCCAATGATATTCATTTGAAGATACACAAATGATTATCTAATGAACACCCAGTCCTATACTGTAAATCCACGAGTACTATGCTCACACATTTCTTTTCTTTACAAAAAGTATTACCACGCTGTATATACGATGCAAATACTTTAATCTTATTCATACTAAATTAACATAACGAATAGATATTATTAATTCACGTCACTCTGACACAAAAAAATGAAATACTTCGACACGTACTTTTTAACTTTGCATACAAAAAATATAGATTTTATTTTGGTATCTATATCCCGTGCAACCATTCTACAAATACTCAAGATAATATATCACCAAAAAATAGTCACAATTTCATTGCTTTGATTTATTTATTTATTTATTTTATGCGAAGCAGGAATTTCATTGCTTCGATGTATCAGACTTGTAATATTCCTAGTCCTTTCATCATGTCACATGACCAACGTGCGTGTTTATACCATAACCTTAAAAGTAAACTTAATCCTTCTACACCAACTCGACCTAACAACAAAGTTCGGCACGCCTATAAAAAATGGCAGTTCAAATGGAAAAATAATGTTTACTCAAACAGACTCAACATTAGTTATACTGTCTCCTACCGAGCTATGGATATACCGAAGTTGTTGAGGCGTTTATCACATCCGTGTACTAAAAAATGTCAAGACGAGCACTTTGAGCGCCATTGTAGACGAATTTTCAATCCTGTCAAGGATCAGACAAGCACGCCCTTGGTTGATAGAATTTTTCAAGCTTGTAAATATCGCTTCTTATTTTTAGAATCTCAATATATAGCATAGCTGATACAACATTTGAAGCTTTCTGCATCGACAAATGTTATGGATCAAAAACCCAAGGAATATTCTTTTAAGATGCGCTACAGCTACGTATAAAGAAGTTACATTACAGGACCATACTAGTATTTTAAAGACTACCAACCCCAATACTACTAGTACGACCGGTAACACCCTTTCTTTTTCACAGCCAATTTACCCTATTTCAGAGATTGTTCCTGATATCCCGCCGGAAGAACTTAGAATGGCTAGGGAGCTTCTTACTCAAAATATGTCAGATAAGAATGAAAAGCTCAAAGCTCAACGCTAAAAAAGCCTGAGATTTCGTCACTTCTTTCAAACACTACAATCATCGAATGCATCAGTAGAAAAAACTAATCAAAATGAATAAATATTATCACAAACAAATGGATAGTTTCAGATACTGTTTACAGATATCAACCAATGCTAAAACACGAGCACGTCTTGAACAAGACTTTATTAACTCACGATAAATTAGTATTGTACTATATTCAACGAAGACAGTAACAATCAAGACCCCTATTGGGACAATAGATCTGAAACATCAGACGAAACGTGAGCATTAGAACATGGTCCTAATAAACGAACCGCCAACTAGTGTTTGGATCCGGATAAAAACCGTTATCCGGATAAAATAATTACTCAATCTGGATAAAAACTTTAATTTTGTAAAAGGTGGAATTAAATCCAATTATCAACAAATTTGAGTACTATGATCGTATTTGTAACACTAAGAGCTTTCAAACAAGCCATAAATCATAAAGTTCTGATCATTAGTTCATGAAATACAACAGTTTATCCGAAATCTGCAATCCGGATAAAATCCGACGAAATCTGGATAAAACCGCGGTTTTTACCCGGATAATCGCACTTTATCCGGATTGACCCGGGTCAAACCGGATTCGGATCCAAACACTACCGCCAACAATAACTATAACTTTGACTCACATTTCTTTACACATTCATCAAAAAGATTATGCCCAGCTATTGATTTCTCGGAAGCTTACTCGACGATTGCTGGACCTTCAAACAAAATTTGATTTATCATATTTCGAGTCAAATTATACCCACTAGAATTTAAACGGTTAAATTTATCCCCTTTACCAAACAATTTAAAATAGTGTGAATCATTAACCTCTTACAGTATTTACAGGTAACGTCTCCAGGTGAAAGAAAAATACGGATCTGGTAGTCTTCGGTCTCCTGGGTTGTTGTTATTTTAATTTTTTCAGTAGCGCAGTTTTACTGTTAAAATAGTTACCATCGAAGGGTGAGGTCCTGGCACTGCTGGGATGAACATCGATTTTTAACTACATAGATTGCATTTGTTTTTTCTGTATTACATACGATAATTTTTGTATTAGACTCCGATAACCACTCTTTTAGAAATAAAATAAAATAAAATAATAATTCTGTTGGGATCAAGTGGTGAATAAGTAGGTAGAACGGTCCATTTTGAATAATGGAGACGCGTCTATTCGCGATCTAAGGTCGAAAGTGAAACCAGTCCTAAATGTAAAATAGCCGAGATTTGTGTTAGTTCATTAAAATTGATATGTTTCGGGCATATGCCTAAGTGTGAATTTGTAGCCGTGTGTGTCTCACATTCTTTGCATAGTAACATGTTTGTGGAATATAACTTCGGATAATTTCTTTGTAAGATATCCAGGGTAGGGTGAATAAAATTTGATTTCTTGATCCGAGAACCTTGTTTTTTGTATAGTGATTCACTGGTAGGTGAGTTAGTAGGGTTGTAACGCATCCATTGTTGTATGAAGGTCCAATCAATATGTCCATTCAGTATATGTTGTTCAACAGGTTTGAGGGATGAATTATTGAGCAACGAGTTAAAAAATTTTGCCTGTATAACAGTATTACTCTAACTTCTAGTGTTTTGATCGATGACGTTTAAGTCATTCCATTTAATTAGGCCTAACAAAGAATCAGAGAAGTTGATATTATCACCTGATTTGGCCAGGTGATTGCTTTGTCATTAAACGTGTCGTTGGTATGTGCTTTGACTTTAATTAAAGTTAGGCGAATGTCGCAGGTTTTGATGATCCAAAATATGAGTTTCCAAATTAGAAAGTTAGTTGCTTTCTTGGACTTAATGTAGGTGTGGTGAGTTGCGATTTTAAAAGTAGAAATGTATATATAGTACATCGACTATGATATGGGAGAGTGATAATAGATCCATAGCTTCACTTTTTGTGGATGGAAAAATAATGTTGATCCTGGATTTTTTATTGGTACGGAGCTTCATAACGCCATCACTATTAATTGATGATCACATGATACAAACGTTTACATGGCACAAACTATACTATACGTAAATTAAGTAAAAATGGTGCACATATCAGTCATATGATACCGTCGATCTGTTTTTTATATTATCTTTCTTCCGTAAAAGGCCTATATTTCCAGAATTAATAACTTTATATTACGGAATTTATCGAACTATTTACATTTTCCGAGAATGGATCTGTGAAAGACTCATTTTTACAGAAATAACGGATAAAATTTTTTAAAATCATTAAAAATTACATGAATGAGGGTGTATTACGAATTCCAGAAAAGTCAAAATCCCGATAATTTTTAATTTTATTCCATAGTTTTCTTAATTGGAAATTACATAAGGCAAAAACACTTATTTTCACGGTTAGTCTGACGACCATAAATAGTCAACCTGCAGCAGATAGTAAACGATTTCTGAAATTAGGTGCACCAAAACTCTTTATGAATCTAAGACAAAATGTAAATAATAAGATTTATTTCTGATCTCAAAATCACAGAAAGAATTTCAAATTTCAAAATGACATTTAGAATAGTTTTTTACTTCAAATCCCCGGGGATGATCATCACCATTGGCCGGAATTATCAATTTTTACTGGCACTATATTTTTTTAATGCTGGTCGATCATCATAATTTCAGTCACCGGTGATCATCATTCCCGATAATGGGAAAAATTATTTTAAAATAAAGCTTAACAAAGAATAAGATTTGCACAAATAACTAGCCTATATCATATTGATATATATATACACATGTGTAATAAGAGTGTATAAATAGTCAATAGTGTGATCCTACATTTACAGCCTTCTACAAAAACAACTCAAAGCACAAGTAGAGCATGTTTGCTAAATTGTGTATATACGCTTTCTTTTTAATTGCGATCACAACTATAACCATAGGAGCATTTCTAGAGGTATCATCAAAATTGACTAGTCACCATGCTCAATTGGAAAAGTATGGACCACCAAATCAGCAGTCTCTGAGTCGCCGTGGACATTTGAATAAGCGACTTCAATTTGTCGAGTGTAAAGATGGGAACGATGTACTCCTTGATTCATATTGTAACAAATTGAGAAAAATAATTGTTCATTGTCAACATCCTGATGGTAAACTCATCACTTTTAATAAATCATGTAAAAAGGAAGAAGTATGTATTGATTATAATGATGCTAATGGAAATCATCAGGCACTTTGTATAGAAAATCTATATGTCAGAACATGGACTAGTATTGATTATAATAAACTTTCCTGTTCATCTGATACAGCATACATTCAAGGGGGAGATTTGCATACCGGAGTGAATACATACTATGATGATGATGAGTACCCAGCGGAAGTGTATCAACTACAGACATTTTTGTCAGAACAAATGGTTGAAAATAACTTTTATAAACACAATATCACTAAAGAATTCCATGATTATCGCAATACTGAAAGGATAAAATACTGTTTCACTCCAGGAAGCAATCTTAAAATAACAGCTTATGCTGTAGCTATAAATTTTGATCCTAAAGCGGGAAATGATAAAGGAACACCTGTACTACTGATTGCATCATCAGGATAAAGTTTTGGATATTTTTATTGATAGAATATTTGTTTGTGTATTTATGAAAGATAGGGTTGCATGTTTTATTTTTATTTTTTTTAATCATTTTATTATTATTTTATCTTTACCAGTTTTCTTTAATCCTCCCTTTAATCGAGATCTACTCCAATCATTTTTTTATTCATTTTCAACCAGCGTATTACTTTACAAAGTTATAATAAAGAATTTTATTTTGAATTTTTTAACCATGTGTATTTACAAGTGATATTAACGAATAATACGTGAGATATATTTTAGCATTTCACAGATACAAAATATATTAATGAAAAAAAAACATCTTAATCCTCTTACTCATCTGATCCTCCATTGTAATTATTATTGATAGTCATATTAATGACATTAGCACTTTGCGAAAAAAAGGGAGGGTAGGTGTTATTGGTCTAGAGATAATAGGAGATTTGATAATTGATGGCGTTGCCGGTCTCAGCAATTTCTTGGAATTTATGGCGACTTTTGAAGAAGAAGTTGAAGACGCTTCTTGTGATGATGATGATGAGCTCAGTTCACCTAATCTTCTAACACTCTGACAATATTAAATTATTTCTAACCAAATATGTTTAATTGTTTTATTTTTATAGCTTATCATAGTTTACGATTTAACTATTGGTAAGAATAGGTTAAAGCATATCCACACCAAAAGCATTTGTAGCAAAGCTTAGCATTAGTGTGATGGCTATACATGATCCTTAACATGTGCTCTTATAAGCTGGCTATATTTGCAACGTCAAATTACTTGGATGTATCTCATGTAATTTGTTATCAAATTAACTATAGAACAATTTAATAACATTTATTTTACTTTAGATTTTACTCTTATAAATTTAGATAGTCTACTAGCTGTAGCCTGTCGTGTTGCAACAGATTAATTTATATTAATATACTGCTCTATATAATGAGCTTTTTCCTTTTTCTGTTATTGTTCATTTTTTTTATCATAATTTTTTTGTTATTTCCATCCTTTAATATAAGCTGTATAAGCTGTAGTAAAATTTTAATTATATAAAATAAACATTTAAAAGTAAGATGAAAATGTAAAAAAAAAATAGAAGCAAAAAAAAAATCTTTTTTATTATTATTTCTATTCAACAAATGTATAATAATAATAAAAATAATCAAAAAAAACTAATTCGTTTTTGAAAAAAAATAAAAAAAAAATAATTAATTTAATTTTTAGTTCTATTATTTATTCCAAAATGTATTTATTTCGATTCACTAATTCAAATTTAAAGGTAAAGCAAAAAAAAGAAATTTTGGTAAAAGAAAAAAAAGAGAATAAAATGGAAAAAAAGGCACTCACTATAGCATTGCAGTGTCAAACTAAAATATTATTAATAAAATATTCCAGTCTTAAAAAAACCGGAAGGAAGAGGTTAAAACAAACTGAAAAGAACAAAAAAAATTTTTTTTAAAAAAAATCTGATTTTATAAAAATAAAATACGGTTTTCAAAACTATAAAAAAGGAAAGAAAAAAAAAATAAAATTTTGGTTAAAAAAAACCAAAAAAATTCTTTTTATTGCAGCGCATCATCCCATGATAACTTTTCTGTTAGCATTACAAAATTATATATCACAACTGGATTGGATTACATAAAATTTTTGTGGATTGGCCATTAGAACCTCAGTTTTTATGCTATGCTATATGGGTTTACTATATAGTTGTTGATTAACATGATTACTTCTTCTCGTTAATACAAGTTTGGCCAAATCTATTTATCTTTATTCAATAATAATACTTGCGAGTTAGGTAGTAAGAGTAAAATATAATAGTCTATAACAAACTTTTTTAGAAAATTGATCACATGTTTGAGTTTTTCAGGCTAGTTTTTTATATTCTAGCATTTATTTATCTTTATAATAAAAATAAAAATATTGGTAAACTTTTGGAAGGATAATCATGTGGTGTGCATGAATTATTTTTCACATTAACGTTTTTATCAGCAACTTTGTTTGTTATAAAGAAGTTTATTAAATCACGTATTTATTAATATACATAGTTTTTTTATTAAATATTTGATAACCCACAAAACATATTCTAGTAGTCAGTAATTAATGATATGAATGATATGATTCAAATAAAATCATTGGACTAATCTTTAATATTCTCCTTTTTTTATTATTTTAACATTTAACAAAACGGAGACTTCTGACTAATAATAAATAATATATTTATATAAATCAAATTTAAATTTGACTAGCGTCAAGCTAAGCACGTAAGTTTATCAATAATGTAAATATATTATTAATGAACTGCTTGATTATCATTTTTATGTCCAGTTATTAATGGTATCTGGAAAAGCCATGTTACATTTTTTAAATTAAAATAAAAATTTAGATTAAATTTGTTAATTTTTTTTAAAAAAAAAATTAAATTTTTACAAATTTACTTTTGAAACAACTAGGTCGATTGTTTTCAGATTTTGATTCTTGTATTCTTTTTGAGTTCGACATGAAGCTTGACCAAATCATGTATATGATTCTAAATTTGCATAAATATTATTAATATGATGATTGATTAATTATTTGTAAACACAATTTTACTTAGTAATCATTAAGCATGATTTTTGAAAGTTTCAAAGTTTTGGGAATATTAATGTAATTTCCTGAGGGTTTTGGAATTGGTGATCATTGATAAGTCTATATAATTAGAAAATCAATCAATTTTATATAATTTATATTAATCAAGAGCGATCAATTTATATAGTTAGAATAATAGAAAATTTATAATATAAAAAATAATAGAAAATGATTGGTAGGTATAATAATTCCCAGTAATTTCTGGCAATTAGGATTACATGTGAAAGTTATGAGAAGATCTTAATTTTCAAAGTGATTTATTTTGAAGTAACATTTTGGCAAGGTTATGTGGATTTTGCAGCCTTAATGTATATCTACTTTCTTAAGATTAGGCATTTAGGCATAGTTTTAAGTCATTTTTATGGCAATATCTTAATGCATTGTTCACTTTTAAATATGTTCCATCTGTTGATTACTCAAGAGATTATTTTCCGATATAAGTGATACATTTAATAGTACCAAATATTTTTGCTAAAAAAATTATACACATGATTCATTCCTTCAAATATCTAATAAATTGATTTTTGATCTCTTTGAAAACCCCCCTTTTTATGAATTGATTTCACAACCTCATTAAAAATTTCACATTTATGGATTTTTGACCCAAGTCCAGTGTATAAAAATCTTTAAAAATCTTTAAGAAAATACCAGAACAATCCAGAATAAATTGAAAATTCTGAATGAATATATTCTGGTACTTATAAAATTTCCCAGAAATCTAATATGTTATATTTCATAAAAAATTTCTGGAATCTAAAAATCTCTCTGGTTTTACCAGGAATTAAAAATCTCTAAGAAAATACCAGAACAATCCAGAATAAATTGAAAATTCTGATTCTGGTACTTATAAAATTTTCCAGAAATCTAATATGTCATATTTCATAAAAAATTTCTGGAATCTAAAAATTTTTCTTCTTTTGGCTTTTGATGAATTAGCTGTCATGTCAATGGAATCTTTACAAAATCTTATTAATTTTTTATGGTCTTTTTGGCATTTATTTTGGTAGAATCTGGTTTACCCGTTTCAAGAAATGAAAATGAAAAAAGAGCAAATTGGACCTTTTTTGGCAAAAAGTCAGTTATGACCTATATAAGAGATGTCCAGGGTCCTGGTGCGGTTTTACCAGGAATCAATAATCTCTAAGAAAATACCAGAACAATCCAGAATAAATTGAAAATTCTGATTCTGGTACTTATAAAATTTCCCAGAAATCTAATATGTCATATTCATAAAAAATTTCTGGAATCTAAAAATTATCAGGAATCCTTCAGAAAATCTGGCTTCATAATATTTTGTTTAGTTTACTCTAACAATTTTTGCAAAGTGTCCTCCATATTTCTCTATATAATCATAGATAATCATATAATCTGGATTATTAATGAATTTTTCTAGGTCTAATCTTTTTAACACCTTCCAACTATTGCAGTTCCTTATTTCTTTTGGAGATAATATTCCCTCAAAATCTGCATCCCACCAATTATTAGATAATGAATATAAAGTTAACATATCTTCAAAAAAAATTAAACAGGTAAACCTTTCTAATCTTTCAAAATTTTAGAATTGTAATTTATTCTTACATGTATAATAGGCATTCTGATGAAAAAAATTCTTGGTTATCTTAATAAATATAATCATTATATAATTAATATTACTATCAATATTACTCTTAAAAGTTGGCCAATTGGGTGACATGATTTTTATACTACTATTTTTTCTGAGTTTATTTCCATTTTTCATATATATAATTTTTTTTATTATTCCTCAGGTCAATTTTAAATTTCAATATTATGTGAACTGAAAAATCAAATAATACTTTTCATTAATTAAGTTTATTATATGTAAACTTAAATTACTTATTAGGATTCTGAAAATAATTATATTATCATTGTGAAGTTGTAGGGAAAGAATTTAAGCCATTCAGGTGCATGAAAAACTTGTTAAGATTAAATATCTTTAAAAATTATTTTTAATAAATTTTAGTAACTTTGCTAATAATCTTGCATTTTGATGGATTTAATTATCTAAATAGTGTGGGTTAGCAGAATGATATTTCATTTTTAGTAACTTCATCCAGCTTAATCTTGCATTTCCTAAATAAAAGGAGCCTCCTTCTTCAGAAATATATCGTAATTTCTGGCCTTTTCCTTCCTTTCCATCTTTTCTGATTTGTGAGCACTGCTCTTAGTCCAGTTTTGTATGTGTTTTGGTTGATCAAAGTCTGGTTAGTTAAAATAGATACTTGTATTAATCTCTCTATTAAATAGTCATTAAAGGCATGTAAAAAGGATAATTTGTCGAAATGAACTTTAGCTTTTCAAGCAAGTATTCTAATATTATTATTATAAGCTTTAAACAATATAATTAGTCATTTAATATAATAATATTAATTCATATACTACTTTCCACCTTTTATGTATATCAATACAGATAGAATTAATAGTTATTTCAATTGCTATACCATATTTAGGATAAGACTTTCACATATATACTAGCCAAACAGCATGTAAAAAATCTTCTAAGAAAATACTGGAAAAAATCCGGAATAAGTTGAAAATTCCGAATTTGCTTTAAAAAAAAAGTGTATTCATTAAATATATTCCAGTACTTATAAAATTGGCAAATTTAGAATAGATTTTATATGCTGTAACCAAACATCCATTCTAATTAGTTACTATATATGTTGTAATAATGAGAAATCTTTACGATCAATCATCTTTAAAGTATTCAAGATTAATGTTCAATTTAAATTTGTTCCTGTTTTATTGTTTATATATAGGATTTAATAGTTTCATATATTTGATCAATTTTGTTCTTTAGATATTGATTGTAAATACTGATATAGAATATAATTTAATTGATAATAAATATCAAAGAATTTTTTATAATATTAGAAAATTAATCATTTTCAAAGACTGAAGGTATATTAGAAAATCCATATAAATTTATTATTT